TATTTATTCATGAGGTAACCAATTGCAGAAAAACCTTTAAGGTTTTATTTCAAATATCATAAAAATAATATACATAAATAAGGTGAGAGCACCCATGACAGATTTTATGCTTGATTTTCTATCCCGTAGCCATGGGTCCGTGAAAAATAATTGTCATAGGAACGAATACCCTCGAGTGAATAGAGGTCTACAATACATAAATATTTATATGTCTGTGAATTGATTCTCTCCTGAATTGTGACAAAAATACCATCAATATAAGTTTTTAAGTGCCAATAATATTAATGAAATAAAATAACTTATCACACAAAATTTAATTAAAATGTTAGTTTTATAGAATAAAATGAAAATCACCAGAGGCCCTTACCGCTAATGAGGGATTAATGATTTTATTATTTAATATATATTGCTATATAAATACAAAATTATTATTGTTTGTGAGTGAGGAGGCAAAAAAATGTGTCATTTGTATAGTCATGAAACTACAATCTGATATTTCTTACAATATATAAAAATATTTTAGATTTAAAGGGGTATCTGAAAAAAATGATAGTGAAGAACAAGCAAACTATATATTTTTATAGTTCAAATATAAGCAAACACATTAATTACCGTCACAGTTAAAGACATACAGTCATTTTAAAGAATCCTTCAAGAAAATCAACCTGCCATAATCATAAAATGGTTACTAATTAAATATCTCAAATGAGCACATTTTTATGAGACCATGAATATGGTAATTCATAATACTGATTATACATAAAGCTATGCGCTGTAAAAAGAGTTAATGATCGTGGTAACTGTGAGATTTACGATACGGCAGAAATACGACGCTATTAAATGAAATAGAGATGGTAATAGAAATGGGGTTCCGAAACGAATTATACTTAAAAACATCTTTTATGTTTATATTATACATATACAATATACATATATACTTTATATATATATATATATATATATATATATATATATATATATATATATATATATATACACTTTACGTCTTAAAGATTCAACTTAAAGATCATATACTTTTTTGTCGTAGAATTAAAATCATAAAAGATAAGGCAAAAATTAGGTGTAAATATTTACTCAATTTATTTGAATAATGAAAATGTAATCATTATATAGTATTTCCTTTAAATATTAACCATGTCATAATTCTAGAAAACAGCTATTAAGACATAATAAACAAATATTATATCTCAGATAAAGCAAAGTATTTGCATCGACCTCAATAATTCCTCCTAAAACGAGATCCTCATACGTGTATAAATGATTTTAAAATCATTGTAATAAGATAACAGATTAATATAATATATTACTATTTTACAGTTCTACAATTAGTAGGTAAATAAGAACATCATGTTATAAAAATGTTGCTCGCCTGTATTAAAACATGAATTATCTTTATATTTGTATTCGAAATGCTTTTTTTATGTCTGCGCAATCTGACACGCGGTTACGATCAAATGGGTCTTCGGGTTACGCTTGTAGCGCAATTTTAGTGCTCTTTCTGCTTGTAGAGCATTGTCCTACACATTTTATTAACCTAAGGGTATTTTGCAACGTCATTCCAAAACATAAATAATATTCTTAGATTTAACCAAGCAATTTTGAGTACACTTTATCATATGATTTTACTCACGATTTCAATTAATTATTATACATGTTATATTGCTGTAGTACAATGAATTTATTGGGTATAAAGCTCTCGTGCTTTATTCTAACATCATAAATAATTGTTTCATAACATTATATAATTCTATTGTTAAACTTAAACATTTATATTATTTAGATAGAACTATAGTTTCAGCTTTCATTTCATTTCGGGAAAAGGGATCAAAATATATTAGAAATATTTGTAAATGTACACAGCAAAATACTATACAATATTTGCATAACAACTTGTTCATGTTTTTTTTAAATATTCGATTTTTGTATGCACAGAAGCTCAGAAATATCTTTGAAAATAAATAATATAGTAAAAATTTCAGTTATACACACATTGCCCGATTTCAAAATGTCTAAAAGTATAAAAACACGTAATTTTTATAACACATTGCTATGAGAGACCTTTTAGTTGATAAGCTATACTTTTGTCATTGTACTCAACTAATATATGTAGAATAACCCATCACTTTTTGTGTAAACTATTAATTTTATCATGGAAGTCGTTAGGTTGTAAGTTAATTATTATATACTCTAAAATATTAATTTAATTTTACCTTTACATTTATCCAGTGCTCTGCTGTCATGCTATACTTTTGATTGTAATGTTCTTGTAATATTAAATGAAATAAGAACAAATTCAACGTACGTTGAACAAATACAATTTACCTTTTATATTGCTTATCTAAATAACTTTTCACGTAGCTGCATGTATTTTTAGACATAATATTATTCGAGAATATTTATGACAAAAAAGTGCCTTTTTTTTTTATGGCCCAAAGGGGCAAGCGAGCGGAAGGCCCACCTGATGGTAAGTGGTTACCGTCGCCCATGGACATCTGCAACACAAGGGATGTTGTAGATGCGTTGCCGGCCTTGTTTGGAAAGGAGCCACCTGAACACGTGATGTTTGAAAGACCCCATGTTGTAGCTCTCTGGAAAAGCCTCGGGCGGAAGATCATTCCACATCCTGCACGTGCGTGAAAAAAATGATCGCGACGCACGTACAGTCCTGCAACTGAATGCATCCAGATGATGTGGGTGAAATCCAACCCTACGCCGAGTAGTGCGATGGTGGAATGTAGACGATGGCACTACATCAAACAGTTCCTCGGAACATTCCCCATTGTACAGACGATAGAACACACTAAGGGAGCTTATATCCTTTCGGAGACTTAGGGGTTCTAGATCGTCTGTGAGCATGGGACCGTTGACAATACGAACTGCCCGACGTTGTATGGAGTCAAGTGGAAGAAGTTGGTACTGTGGGGCACCGGACCAGAGGTGAGAACAATACTCCATGTGGGGACGAACCTGTGCTTTATATAACAAAAGCAAGTGTCCCGGTGTGAAGTACTGCCTCGCTCTACTCAGTACCCCTAGTTTTTTTGATGCTAGTTTAGCCTTATCCTCCAAATGACTCCGGAATTGAACGTCGTTCGCTATGTCAACCCCAAGGATCCCAATGCTCTGTTTGATCTTAAGGGGAATGTCCTGGAACTTTGGAGCTACAGTAAATGGGGTCTTTTTAGTGGTAAACGCGCAAACGCCTCTATGACTTGCTCTGCTAAAACATTTAAAAGAAGTTTCGTTTCAGAAACGGTTTAATATAAGTAGTTCTTAATCCAACCCGAAATAAAAACGATAATAGTTATCTATAACCAAGAACTATGTAACTTTTTTAGAAATAGTTAATTATTGTATTGATAAACGTAAAACACTATTGTTAGTAAAAAGAAGTTAATAGATCTATGAATAATATTATCAGAAATCTATACATTTGTGGTCTGTAACCACTGAAAGGTTTACGACAGTTTTAAATTAAACCTAAAACGTTTATCTCGGACTGGAAGTAAATGAAATTTAAATAAATTTTGTGTACTGTTTTCACAGATAATTCTAATAGTTGTTGATTAAAGGCTGTTTGATGAAGAATAGATTATTATTATTGATTACATTTTAGATTATCTATAAATTAATTATTTTTTAATTTGTATAGATATACATATTTCGATTATATATTTATGTCCCATGCTTTGAACGGCAACATAATCAGATAGCTGTTTCTAAAATATTTAAGTGAAATGTGTGATGGCCCCGTATAACGCTAGACAGCGATTGAAATAAAACTTCTTTTCCTGAAGAATCAACCATTTTGATAACTTTAATACTCGCTTAAATCTCAGAATTCTCTATAGAAAATCGAGGTATTAGTTTAACTACTGCAATCAATATTTGAAATAATACTAAATAATTCAAGTAAATAGTACATTAGATTTCACTTAACAAATTGGTAAACAACATCTTCTTAAGACGCTAAGAAACTTCTTAATTGTGAATTTCAAACTTATAATTAACAAACTTTGACTTTTCGTTCAATCATTAATAATAAACACTTTAGGACCTGTTTAAGAATGCATTAACCTCTGATAAAAAAACGAGTGCAAAAGTAAAAAATATAACTAAAATTTTAAATACATATGAGAAAAACGTAATCTATGCGAATATTGCTTAAGTATTCTTGATATTTTTGAAACAGTGGATATCTTAAGAATTGTTAATTCATTATTTAATTCAAAGTAAATACCCACAGACTTATTGGATTAAGTTCCTCATTAGCTACCCAAGAACTTTCTACTTCAATTCCTTAAGTTGCGGAATCCATTTAATGAACTTTAGCTGCCCGCTCCATCATTAGTAACTTTGACATCAGTATTTTTATTTACACATTTTCGGTATATCGAATATATGTTTATTTTTTTGTACATTAAAGATGAATATTAGTATTATGTATCTGTTCTAGATGATTGAAGTTCCTTAACATGTCAGCAATCGACATGTCATAACTATATTTTAATAAATATTAAATATTTCACAAGCGCTTACTAAATATTAAAATTATTGATTTTATTTTAATTTCACCATTGCGTGCAAAACCGCGATACCAATACACATTCTGTATTATTCTGACACAAACAACAAATATTAAAATATAAATGAATTTTCCGTACTTCCGATACAAAATTTATAGGCACGTATGTTAACGATTTCGTTTATAAAGCAGCAAAGCTAAAAGTATTCCAAACATAATGTTGTTTGTAAACCAATTCAGTAAACATATTGAGGGTTAAAAATGAAATGCGCATTACACTTCGTGGAATTAATTGGGAAATAAAACTGCGTTAGATCTATATATATCGATAACTGCAAGATTTTCTCGACCTTTATTGTATAGAAATGGTGCAATGCGGTTGAATAGGAATCACGCTAGCCTGTCTTTGTATACTGCAATCTTATACCTTTACCTTGAGGCGTCAAGTTCTAGGTTAAGCGAACCATTGTTCAGAATTTGTCACTACATTAAATGTTATAAAATGCGTTAATGTGGTGGTGTAAGCGAAACTATCAACTATTTGGTGCTGTTACAATAAAATCGTCTTACATTCGAATGGAATCCAATATCCTAATGTCATAGCAAAACAAATAAAACTATATAGGTCACAAAAGTTTTATAATCGAATTCTGTCTAGCAAAGGATTGAAAGAATCAGAAGGAAAATATTAATTCTTTTTAATTTTGTTAAGGGAAAAATTATAAAAAGCATGTTTTAAAAATATTATATATTTACCGAACATGCTGATGGTGCTGAATGAGCACCACAAGTTCCTCCTGCCGTTGCTGCAGCCAAAGCGCTGCTTCCAGGCACCTGAGACGCAATCATTTCATCAAAACGACATAAATGAAATCAATTCATATTAAAGTATCTTTATATCACGGGACCTTTTCACCTAACTAGAAGTTTATTACGAAACAAGCTCATTTAATTCGTGCTCATAGATATAACTAAGACTAATCTATCTAACAGGGGTCATGAAAGTAGTTTACATATAAGTTTCTTAGATTAAGTTTTCTGGATTTAAGATTTAGGGTTATAACTGTTAGTAGAATTCACATACATGCTTTAGAACACAATAGCAAAGTTTCAGCGTTATCTACAGGGATAGCAACTAAGATACGAATAATAGTTGACGATTTAGCGTTCGGCATCATTATTCACAATATCACTGTACAGGCGAAATTTTTACAAAACTAAAGGCTTGTAAATTTTAGTAGGACCATTACATTAAACCGTTCTGTTACCGGATTAGTAGCAATTATATTAAGATATAATGAAAACACACCACGGGTCCTACGGCGTAGAATTTGGTCGTCCTTCAACCTGTCAAAATTTTATCCAAAATGGAGCGAATAGAAAACGGAATTTAGTGCTATGTAAAGAGTAAAATGAAATGTATTAAGTTTGAAGTGCCATAATTTAATGTAATTTCGTCGTATTTGTTATTATTGAGTATATTACCTTCAGCTGCTCCTGCTTGTAGTCGGGTTGATATGGCAGCAACATTCGAATCTTCCCCCATCTATTGAAGAACAGAGCTATAGCTCCGATCCATACTATCAGTATTAAAACTACGATCCCAATTTCCACGCCTCGTATCTGTGTGAGAAAGAAAAACATTGTTTTTTTTTTCAATTCAAACTGAAGATATTTTCGATTGCACTCAAAATCCATGCTACCTAACAAATAAAAAAATATATCATTTTATAAATAAAAGAAAAATATCAATAAATTATGTTATAATTCAAAAAGTGATTTTGAATAAAAAAAAATAATTTGATATTTCCAATATCATCATCCAAAAAACAAAACAAGCAAAATCAAAACATACTTTCAAATCTCTCATATTGCTATTACAATACTCGTATTACAATAACAAGTATTCATATACGATATAAAATATAGACAAATCAAAAAATAGCTGCTAGAAATTTTTATTTGTTATAAAAAAATTGTTAACTTTTAGCGAGGAATACATTTTTTTATAACAAACATTTCTCGTTAAGTTCCACTTGTTGTTATTTTATATCAATCTTAAAATGTTGTATGTATGTATATGATTATATACGTTTTTATATACGTTCTATGATTATAGAACTGAATCAAATTATATTTCTTGTGATGTCAATATCATCTTTTAATTTAAGTTTATTTATCTTCTCTTTGCGTATTTAATAAAGTAGTAAACCAAAGCTACGGTGCTTACATGGATTACCCTAACATACATGTCCAAGTTAAGGAACAGAATTTTAGGAACGTGATCCCCTACATTTTGATCAAAATTCAGATGTGTGTATATAAAATTATAATATACATGAAACAAAATAAATATAAAAATTTATTACTTTTGCTGATATAAATGACATTCTTATAAATTTGTTAAAATAAATTAATTTGTGTCTTTTTTATTTTCATTCGTTGTATTATAAAAAAATAATAAATCGTACACAAACACCATTACGAATTGTGAACCATGATGAAAAGACTTTAAATAAAACAAAAGATTTTGTTAATAAAAAATAATCTTGTCTTTAAAAAAAATGGCTCGGTGTAATAGAATGATGATCAGAAAATCTCTTTTCTTAGTGCTCAAAGAGTATATACATAAAATGTATGAGTAAGCGTGTTACCTCCAAAATGAGTTTTTATTTTTTACAGAGTAATATATCAAACTAAGCGCGTTCGTGGGAACATTCGAGGATTTTTCGCTTAAGTTACACCCAAGACGAAATTTGTTGGGCTCGAAGCAAATATTTAAGAGAAGCGAGAATTTTAACGAACTAACCCACGTACTTTTTATATGTTAAGGCTTTTCAGTTTCTTTTTAAGAAAATACATTTTCTAACTCTTCTTCTATTATAAAAATAAAGATACATTAAATCTTTGATTTAAAAATGTTATTTAATAATGAGATATAGGACTTTCGCGAGTATTCATTTAAATGAAACTAATATTTTCGGATTACTACGCGACGACACTCACATCTTGTCTGCCCGTGGTCATGATTGCTGCATAGTTATCGAAACGAAAATAAAATGGTATAAAATAATACGAAAATATAAGTTTCATTTAAATTGTATTGAAAGTTCAAAAATGAAAATTAACTCAATATTTTATCGTAATCATTTACATATTTAACTATCGTTTTGATAACTTTTGACCTTTGATGACTTTTGAATATTTGTTAAATAAAATATATCTCAAAAATTACAAACTGGGTAATGTACGTGAACATGCTATGTATATAAGTATTACATGAATAATTATTATTAAAATTACCGTTGGAAATGTGGGCGAAGGATCTGGGGGGGTCACTGAGGAGCGAGCTGACTCTAGACCCCCGTCCTGCTGCGGTGACGTTCGAGGGAGCTCTGCACATAGAAGATACTGGCATTAGGCATTATAAAACAAATGAATAACCATTGTAAACGCACATGATATTTTTATAAGAGCCACAGTAAAATTATAATTGAATACGTTTTCATTTAAACAGTATTTTAAAATAATAAAACAAAGTTATATATAGTATAAAAAATATGTGAACTAGTTTAAAATTTGTAAATATATTTTAGTATTGTATTTTTATATTTCTATTCCAGATTTGTAAATCTTCATTCAGAGTGAATAAAATGTTATGAAATACAATATAGAAGCACTATATTTTCAAACTGTGAATCCGCAATAACAACAACTTTTACATCAGAGCTAGTTTTATGGTCGAAATATAATTTTACTGAAGCTGTGCACTTTCGAAGCTCAAAGACCACTTATCAAACTTTTATACTTCTACCACTATGGATGTATTTTAAGACTCATTGTATAGCTTTTTTCATAGTACTAATACGAAAAATGTCATTGCTTCCGTAGTAGTATATTTATTATTAGGCCAATATGAATGTACTCACAATATTAGGTTATATATTTGAGACCCGTCACTGTATTGTCCGTTTACAATCAAATACAAATATTACTTTGATGATTACCAAATGTTTACTAACTCAAACGAACATGTAGTTTGTATGTGCTAATGAAGCCAAAAACATGATGTCGTAGTGCACGTTTTAAAATTGGAACTATATTATAGAATTACTAAAGCGATCATAATATTGACCTCGGGCTAAGAATTAGCCATGTAAGGAAAGTGTAGCTTTTATATTCATAAAAATGCTTGAAACCAATAAATTAAATAATTTATTGGTAGTTCGAACCTAATTGTGTTAAAAAAATATTATAAATAATATTCATTTTGTACTACATGAAAATTCGTCATATTTATATATACATAATTTATTAAGCTTATTCAAAAAAATTTTGCGAAGCATCAAGTTGCAACTGAACGCATTCTAAACGCAGCAACCTCTTAAAACAATAAATTCTAACTTGTTAATAAACAAACTCAAGTTCAGTGTAAGAAAATGTTTCCTTTTAAACTTTTTATTGCAAAATTGTAAAAAGTTTGCAACATCTGAAAATAAATTCCGCTCAAACTAAGTTTGCAAATGTCGAGGCCAATTTTAGATGTCGGTCATAGCACTCGTGTTCCATACCATATTCTGTATTTCATGCGCTAGATTTGTTCATCACTGAAGGAATAAAAAATACCAAACACGTGCAATTAATTTCTTTATATATTTTCATTTATTATTTGTTATGAGTTTTTAATGTAATTTTTATAAATCTTTATTTGAACTACAATAAAATAAAGGTTAAGAAATTCATCAAGAAGTAATTAGTTACACGCATGAGGGAGCAATTTCATTATAACTGTTCTATGAAAGATTCCTTATGAAGATGTTGAACGGAAAAACTATTTGCAATTAAGTTACAAATAAGATTTCAGTTTAATAATCATCTGTTGGGATGATATTTACTCTTTACGAGTTAATACAGTAAGGCCCATATATACACGTTATCTGAAAAATATTTCATACATTTTACAACAGCTAAATTATGAAAAATATTTAAAATAATTCGAATGAAGGTACATGAGAAAGAGGAAGTGAAACCTTGTAAAAGTTAGTCAGCCCGCGGAGCTAAGACGCTGTATAGAAATGTTTCCTTCGAGATGCAAAATACTAATTTACATGTTAAGTCAGATAGGAGAAGCAACAGTAATTCCATTCTGGTTTTCATTTATTGAAATCATTTTACTAAAACGAGTTTTAATGAGAAAATAATGTCTCTAACCTTCACAAATTCTGTCCATAATAACTGCAATCTTTCGAAAATCTGGGACAGTTTTCTCGCATAAAAAGCCATTAAGGAAATAGTACATCAGAATAAGACCCCTTTTGTGTTACGTCAAGAGTGCATCCGGAAGATCATATGCGGTAAATGAACTATCTGGAAGCAAGCCAACGAGGAAATTTAGCACCAGCATGTTTGAAACACGTATATTTTTAATTGACAATATGAAAGGTTGTAATGCATCTTGGCAGCCAGTATAAAGTAACACGCCACATTTAGTTTTTATTTAGGTTACAACTTAAATTTATTGTTTTTACCTACATGTAAAGTCAAAACCCTTTACAAACTCTCATATTACTGGTGGATAGTTTAGGCAAAATGAGTTTATTTCAAAAGCTACACTAATTAACGACATAAAAATTAGGTAAAGAAAACTTGAAGAAATAATTTCAGGAATTCACTTACTATTTTCTAATGGACATTTCAAAAAGAGAAAGTTTATTTTAACATTTTATTTGAACGTCTTGAAATTATTTTACATATTAACTAACAGTTAATCATACCTGTCATCATTAAAAAAAATCTTTTTTATATTAATAATAGTAATAAAAAAACATTTTATAAATTATTAATATAATTAATATGCAATCTTTACATTAATGGATTTTTAAAAATCCAAGCAAGTCCTGCCCAAAATAATCCAAGAATTTAAAATTAAGATTTATTATCGTCAAAATCTTAGAAATAAAAAACTAGACTTTATATAAAAATCAATACAAATATATAAATATTACCATGCCGATCTACCATTTATTTTTATTTCAGTATCATATTAAGTTTTGTAGCGAAACTATTTATGAATTGCTGAATCTTTGGCAATCTTGGAAGAGCAGATGTTCAAATATGGGACCAAGTTATTTTATTGCATTGCTTAGCATTTTTTGTATAGATCTATTCTGGTTTTTTCTTTAGTATTAAGAGTATCCACTGTTCCTTCTTTATCAATTATATAAAGAAATTTTCCTTAAAAGACATATAGTAGAGGATGAAATTATACGAATTATAAAAGGTTAATTTCTTTGTAGAACTAAAAATTATGTCAAGAATATTATTCTATTCTTGTATCTTGATATCATTATTTCAAACAAGGGACTTGAATATACTCGTAGTTATCATTACATAATTTATTCAGGACAGTCCTAAATGTTAAACATAAATGATTAAACATTTAGGAATATTATGTTAGGAAGTGTAATATTAGATTATTTAATTAGACTTATATAAAAATCTAATGCTTATAGAACGCTCTGTATTTTTTTTATAAACAAATTTAACTAAAAATATTTTCCATTATTTTGAATGGCAATTTCTCCTTTATGGCTCACGTTTAGTTTTCACATCATATCATTCGTTGTGTTAAATATTATTATAAGCCTGATTTCATATAAACACATGCGGATTATATATATTGCCCTTTTTATTTCCTTTTATTTTTAATTAATAATATTAAAGCCATATTATGATAATAAAACTATCAGTTTGTGCTTGACTGTACCTCGTTCTAATATTTCCTTTGCGGTATTTTCTATGTTAATTGATAACGTCACTAATTCTGACTGCCACTCAGATTATAACTGGATAAATATTTTAATATTAATGTTATTTGCTATGCTTTTAAATAATTTCTTTTGTAAAACATAATATAAATCAGACCCATTCTTTCCGGTAAAAGACGTTTTATCCATTAAAAGTAACATCACGTAGCTGGGTTAAAAAATAATTTACTGCAAAAGTATTTAAATATTTTCCAAGTAAAGCAAAGATTAGGATTTAAAGACGAGAATAATATGAATCTTATAAAAATAATTTTTGAAGGAAATTTAGGGTTCTACATAAATGTAAACCAAAAAATAGCAATTACGTTAGTTGAAAGTAACTATATTAAATAGAACATTTATTTTTTGTTAACGACAATGAAACGACATGCATTAATAAATATAAGTCATAATTTACAAAAGAAAAACAACTGTTTGGTGTAGGGGCTAAATAATACATGTCCATTGGGACAAAGCACACGCATGTTTATCACGCAACAGGTGCATTTTTATAGTACTTACTTCATACTCGCCCTACTTAATTAAAGCTTCTCGTTTGAATAACAGTATATTCCTTTTTGTATTGAAATATTTACACACAATAATGCAACATCACTACACAATGGATGACTAGTTCCAGATATAAAGTATAAAAAATAATTGCAACCGCTTAAGGCCATTAAGCCAGATAATAGAAAATTTATAAGAATTTATGTAATTATGTTAAAGAAATAAAACCTATTATTCTCTAAAAACGGAACCTTGATACTATGTGAAAATTACACTTGTATTCTTTTTAATATTCACATAGCAGTGATAAAGGTTAATGTAATGTACTGAATAATGCATACTTTACGGTAAAGAAAATAATTTTAATAGAACGAGTTCTTTGCATGCAAGATAATAACAAATCTCATTACTTTAAACTAGAAATTCTTTTATACAAATGTATACATACCACATTTATATCTAAACAAAAATATTCTTAAAAAAGGTTTGCAAACAGCCTATTTTTTTATTTAGAAAGCACAAAATATTCTATAAATGGTCAAACATGAATGATCATACGATAAATTCTGTAAAACTTCAGATATAAATGAGAGTTCAATAGACAAAATGAAAAACTTAATAACAATCTTATAAGATATAGATTAGGAATATAATTTTAATTATAAATCAAAAAAAAATTTAAGATATTTTTTTTGTAGCGGAATTCATAATTATTTTTAATAATTAATTGTTTCGTATATTTATTTATCTTGTAATGATTACTTTCATTTAGAAACCATAAACTTCATAACATTATACAACTATATAATATTAAACAGGGGTTGTTCTTAATAATCTTTTTAAATTTTTATAAATATATCCTGGAAGAAAAATATAAAATGCATTTATTCGGTTCGTTTCCCTGCAAAGAGATAAGTTATTCATAGTTCCCGTTTGTAAAAAGGGTTTTGTTCTTTAGGGAATTTACAAAATAATGTTTTACTTTTGTAAAATACTATAAAGGAGAATTATAATATACAACAATATTTTCCATATTTCTGAAGTATTTCTTTGTGTTTCCATTGCATATTTATTTCAATATTACAACGATTCATTAAAGAAATTTTATATTTTAAAGATACAACACACCACAAATCAATTACTTTTAATGTTTTTGTTTATTTTTGTGTTCTTCTTTGCATATTCACCTCTAGAAATTTTACGGAAATTTACAGTTGAATGAAGAAAGTAATAATAAAATTTATTTCGATTTCTATATTCAAATATAACAAAACATTTTTAATTGTATATTTTATATTATAAAATTCAAATTATTGTGAACTCACTGTAATAATCATAGTAACCACGACCACACCTTACATAAGTTATTCTTCCTTTCATACAACACTTTGACCCAGTTATTTGACACATGCTTAACACTTGGAAATATTAATAAGCTAAATCTGCATTACCTACTTTATCGTGTAAGATATAATGTAAACCTGAAATTAAGTTTCAAGTCAATCAACGTATCAATATTTAAATTTAACGCTAGGGACATCGGAAAATTCAGCTTGCCTTAATATATATTTTTGTTAAGAGACATTGTTATTTATTATAACACATTTATCTAGTAGAAGCTTGCAAAAAATGAACGTACTTAGAAAATAAAAATGACCTGTGCTTCAAGAAATATGAAGGGATGTTTAGGATATAAGTATCTGTATATCTTGTTTGTTAGCAGAAATTTAATCCTAATTTTACATTTAATTCAAGAACATAATTAGCCTGATTCTTTATTATATTAACCTTAAATATATTTTATATATTATATGTACGTAATCGATGTTAATTTTTGCAATAACATTACATATGTCTGTTACAGCTCCATATATGTATAAGAACATTGTTATGCGATGTTTATACAATAGAAATATCTGTATAATATATAGAGTAAAAGTATTTTAATGGAAAACTTGCGTATATTTTTCGTTAATAACATAAGGTGTAACTTTCGTCTTATTGACATTCAGAAGACGTTAATTTAATATGTCAGGTGGGTTCTTAATATAAAAAAATATTCGTTAGAAAGGCGATTATCTGAGTTATTTTATTACTTTGTACATTTATTATATAGAATCTAATGAGACTTAATTCTGACTGTTGAATAGTAAATGGTATGAGAAAGACGAAATATTTAATATAAATTACACTTCATAATATTAAAGAATGTATGAACACTATCGCTATCGATAACATTAGGTTTGTAATCTTCTTTTTAAAAGTTATATGATATACATATTTCTGTGTTATTTTAAAATTTGTAAGCAAGCGTGAGTTACTCTAAGTATTTGTATTTTATGATGAAGATTTTGAAGGTTAATTGAAAAATGTTCACTAAAAAGAGCTTGTTTTAAACTTTCCTTGACTTTATATAATACGAGTAACCTGTAAATGCTAATGTATCACCACATGCTTTCCGACATTTTGTAGCTAACGAAAACAAGTAAAAGGGACTACAAAGTTCATTGACGTAAAGCCAGACTGCAAAAGTGGTTTTGTGACAAACTTAACTTTGTGCTCCTAAAAGACTCGAGGCGTAACCTGAATAAAAAATTTCGATGCAGAATCAGATTTACTCCAAATTTTTTTCGTTGAGGAAATTTTGTGTCGACTGCATCAAATGTCAAATATTGGATTTTAGAATTAAGCCCCTTTAAAAGTCCAAACTACTCAATTTATATATTTAAAACGTATACATGATTCCGTAGATTCCGATAAAGTGATGATGTTAAACGTTTTTTAAAATAAGTCTTGTTATCTAAAGTTCTTCTCAACGTTATGATTTGTATGTAAAAATAAATAGATAAGTTACGTACGCCGAAAAAATTATTAGTAAGGACCAATATAGAGTTATTTATAATAGTTCCGATACAGTTTTACTTACCCAGCGTGCGGAAGACTATAGGCCTGCTTCTATACTTGTGTCCGCCCCACAAGGCGGCAACTGTTACTTGATATTGCGTGTCTGCTTCCAGTCCACTAAGTATCACTGCATCAGAGTTACCAGCTACTTCTAGTACCACTCTGTAACTAACGGAAAATCAGTCAATTTCGTTGCTTCCTATCTCCAAGCTGAACAAATAAGGTGAAGAAAGAGAAATGGAAAAGGAATAGTAAAATCAATATATGTAACGATATTGTTCGTGTCTTTATCATTTACTTAAACGTTTCTATTGTGTTTAAGATACATTACAGCAGCTTTTGCTTAAGCTTTGCTGAAGTAAACAATTCATTGTTTCTTACTATGTTGTAGTAGTATTACTAAGTTAGGACTTATTTTTTATGTGCACATAAATTATAAAAATGGTTAGTTATTTATATTTATATTGGACGTTACTAGTAAGTAGGATGTAAATGGATTTTGATGACAGAATAGTAAATATTTCCGAAAAAAAATCTTCCCGTTGCTAAAAAATTTTTCAAAACAAACGAAACAAAGAAACAAACCAGCAAGATGTTAGAAGTTTTATAACTAAACACCGAATAAAAACGACAACTTGCTAAAGCAATAGTGAAACCTTTTATCATAACCACTTTTTAAAGGTCCTAGATTTTTAATACTTTTTTAGTTTGGAAATAGTTTTCCTTTTAAAAATTCATATAGAATACAAAGTTATAGCACGATTAGTAACTTAATATTTATAACATTCAGTATAGAATTAGAAGTTTTATAAAAAGAATTTCTTCCACAATTTATTTTAATTTAATCAATACATTTCTACCCATGAAACAAGACACACAATACACAAGACGATGTAAATTCACTTTAGTTGGCTTCAATAGTTATAATAATTTCCATTATACTGCAATATAAGTTGTTTCCCAAGGTATCAAAAATGCAAAGATCAAAGCTGAAATCGTTTTGCACTTGTGACATCGGATTTGAACTTGAATTGAATAAAATTTAAAATGTTGCTCTAACTTGTGAAAACGAAATAATATGTTACAAATTGTTAAAATAAGATAAAACATGTAAAAAGAAAAAAAACCTTTTAAACATTGAATAAGTTTCAAATTGGCAAACCTCTCTAAACGACCGAACCACTAGTTTTCCTTAGGAAGTGGCTAAATTACCTGTCGTTGGACGCTTTGATTTCTGCTCTTTCATTTGTCGATTCTATTATGTAGCTTTTGTGCTTTAGTAATTTGTTTTTGTTATTTTAGATTCGCTTTAGATTTGTGTTGATTTTTCATCAGATTACCAACTTTTTTCTTTCTAGTGACTTTTTGTATATAGTGCTTCTCAAATTCATTGCAAAACTCAACATTAAATGGTTTGGTATAATCGTAAAATTTTCGAACCGTGGAATCAATGGCACACAAAAACAGTGTTAATTTATCTACCCGAACTCAAAAATTAAAACTTAAAATATTAATAAATATATTGAACCATTTAATTTTCGACAAAGTAAATTTTATTATTTCATTAAAATTCAGCATCTATGATTTTAGGGACCATTTTGAATGTTCTTGAATATTCATAGGAACCTTGTACAAATTTAAAAATCGAATAGCTAATTGAAATCGGAATTCTATAGCAACAGTCGTAATTTCTATATTCTACGGAAAATCTTTTTCTGTTAAAAGAATCATGCATTACATTTATTTTATTATTAAAATAATAAAAAGGATCCTTAACAAAATGTTACTGTGATACTTTATATATATCATTATTATGATAATCTTTGCTTCAATTAGTTAACAAATTTAAATTAATTTCTACATAATAATATTAACGAAAGTTAAAACTTGGTATCCTTTAGAGAATTGCTAGAACGGATTAAAACGTAATTTAAGTAAGACATAGTTTGCTTTTTATATAAAACATATTAACTTCACTTTATATTATTGAAATAAATACATTAACCCAACATAATGTGACGTGAAGACGGCTCAATGTTAACGTCTAAAAATGTCAAAATAATGAACATTTCTATTCTACTAATGAACTTGAAATAATCAACTAATTATGACGAAGCATCGACTAGACTAGGACCTTGTAACATTTGGACTTATAACAACTGAAATTAAATTTTTGTTTTATTCCAAGTAGTTTTCTGAACGTGTAACAACATATTAGTGAGTTTTGGAGTGCTAGAGCGTAATATTTTTTTTATTAAATTTTTTCATCATTAAAATAGTTACGAGAGCACACAAATTTTCATTATTATACTCAATCTGCTTAATGCTTTGAGTTTTTAGTTTTTAATATTAATTTTAATGGAATAATGATCCATCTACTAAACAGTTTGTGGATCTGATTCGAACTAAATTGTTTATTGGCATCACAAGGGTAAGAGCCTTCGCATAGAGTGCTGATTAACCAAAAATGCCAGGAAAAGTTTCAGGACAAAAAGGACGAAAACTCAATTTATTAAGTAATTAATGGTTGAATAGAACAAAATATAACTTAAAAGAAATACTATACCGTATTATGAATGAATAAATAAAACTTATTACAGTGTATATAAAAATAGTAGCAATGTAAAGATTGCACAAGCAACGTTAATTTGAACATAAATGTACTCGTATTTTCATATAGCGAGTTTTAAAACTGAGCTCAGCAATATACTTTAGTTGCACCTGAGGCTGAATACTTTTTCTTTATTTTCTACAAAAATTTCACCCTTAACTTGACTGCGGCAGCCATTAAAGACGTAATAAATGGTTTTTAATATTATAGTAACCATCATGAATTTTGAAGAGTTACAACGTTCTGAACAAAATTTTAGTATTCAACATTAAATAGGATTCACAGTTTAATGAACTTAGTCTCGTCATGAATACAGTTATATTAAAACTAATGGGCATATTACGAATTTTGAAATTGGTATTTGTCATGTGTTTTCTTATTTTCAGGAGTGTTAATTGTAAAATGATTTGTTATATTAAATTGGGTGGAGTAATAAATGACAAAGAGAACAAAATCGTTGTAACTGCATATCATTAACTACTTAGAAATGGAAATAAATATATCTTTAAACCTTCCATACGCTTGCTATTAGGCAAATCCTTTGGTCCACGGCTAGTGATAGATACAATGAAATTTCGTGTGTTTTTTGACCGTGAAAGAACTGGTACACACGAAACAGGCGATCATAGTATTAAGGGACACAATTTTAAGAAATCCTATCTGAAAGCAAAAAATGTAATTTCGCTATATATAATAGGATTTTCAGCTACGTCTGTTTACATAGATAACTACTACGATGACTCTTTTCTTGGCATCTACAAGAAACTCACATTCATTTTCTACAAATAATTTAAATATAACAGGATAGTAAATATAAATAATTACTTAAAAATTACACAAAGAAAGGTAATAATATGTAAAAGAAGCTTCTAATCAATCGATATAATATAAAATGCTCTTTATCCAACTTCAATGATGATTTGGTAGATTGCTAGCTATGAAGGAAACAGATTTCCCTGAAGCAGGTGTCAAAAGGCATAGGATTATCAACATATCATTCTTGAAGAGTTATTGGAGTTCCTAAGCAACATGGTGTTCCGAAACCAGAAATAGTTTTTTAAGCAAAACTCGGCACCAGATCATTATCACAATACATCTAATCAAATCAATAAATACAAGTATTATTGATTTTAATTCACTGGATTATGTTTTATGGTTATTTTTAGACGGTAAATCCTGCTCTTAAAGCCTTTTTAGACGAGAGTCCTTCGAAAAATCCATACGATTGATAGTGAGGAATTTTTCTATACAAATAGTGCGCGCTTCAATTGATAACTGGCCTCACCATATAAAAGAGACCACTTCGTATTGCATAAAATAGATATTACTTTGTATAAGCTTTATATAAGTTAATAGTTTTATATAATTTTATTATACTTATACTTTTAACGCAAGAATACAATTAAAAACTGGCTAGTTTTTTTTATAATATATTATATATTTTAAGGTTTTATTGTTTGAAAATATAATTATAAATTTAAGTATCGCAAATTTATTAATAGTATTATTTAAAACCGCAGATGGAAAAACAATAAGTATCTTTTAAACATTCATATTATTTAATCCGACAAAACGCGTTAACTCGTTAAATAACATATTCTAACAAAATAAAATAAGTACATATACTAACGCTACAAATGATGTTTAGAATTGATATAAACTATTTATTAGGAATAAATAACATTATAAGTATTTTTATAAATATATCAATTTTCGCTGTTAGGTTTAAGATTTAAAGCAGAAAGGTATCTAATAGGATAAGTATGACGATTATTATCATATTATAATATTCTTCCCATTATATGTACATTTTATACTGTGTTGTAATACCTTTTATCTATTTATACATATATAATAGGGTACCTTTTATTTGTACTCATGATTATTGTAACCTGCTATTTACGAGACACTTTGTAATTTTTATCCGAATAGATACTCGATCTGACATTTATATTTCTATTTCAGTTTTTCTAATATAAAAAACATAGAAATAAAAACTGTTCTCCTATCCCAATTGATAATACAATAATAGTTTCGTACACAAAAAAGCTGTCAATACAAAATCTGTGAGACTGTCAAAATAATGATTTATTCTAGAAGAAAAATGTTTACAAATTATTGATCTCATGCCACAAAAGCTTATGAAAAGTACGCTTCGGATATAACATAATTTATTCAACATTACATCACTATATAAACGTATGATGCATGTCATTTCAATCTGGCAAATCGTAGTTATTGTTAGTTTAACCTTCCGATCTAATTCATAAAACATGAGGTCATTCGACAATTTTCATATGTTAAACGGAATTTTAAATAAATTCTATACAACCTAACAATTAAGAGACGTTAAAATTATATATAACTAGCGGCCCGGTACGTGCTTCGCTACGTATAAAGTGAAATAAAATAAACAAATCGGAACATCAAATTCATTTATTTAATCAAAAAAATATTTTATTTAAAATCGAAATCAATTGCTAGCTATTTACAACACACTTAATCCAAAACATTTGTATAAACAATAAATTTTTGTTTTTCCATTTTGAGCATAAAT